CCCGGGGCCCCCCGCCCGCTGCTGCGGCGCGCAGCGACCCCGTCGCGCTCCGTGGCCTCGGGGACGCGCTCGCCACCCTCCCTGCCGGGGGCGCCGAAACATTATTTTGCATAGAAGACCTTAATTGACGTGTGAGGGAAGGCTGAACGTGGAAAGCCCCCGAATTTACAATCTGGGGGGCGGGAGAGGGAATTACACCTCTCCCCTTCAGTCTCCTCCAGTAACACCTCGTAACCTTTAGAAGCGGAGATGCAAGCACTAGATGCAAGCTGCCCGTTCCCCAGGCACCAGGAGGAGAAAAATAGCGATGTGAGCCTGTTCCCGATGTGCCGGGGATGCCCACCCGCCCGCGTGCGCCGCTGAGGGCAGGACAGTGCGGAAGGATGTCCTGGAGAGATCCCCCCATCAGAGCCGCAGGGAGGGAGCAGCAGCCCGAGTCTGAATTTTGACCTGCCACTCACTTTCTGCTTGCTTGTGACCCTAGCAATTAGCTGAAAAGGTTTTAAGATACCCCTATTTTCCTCTTCTTTGTTGGGCATGCAGACTTCGGCACTGGGGCTCTGGTTTGCAGAAGTGGCTAGTATTTGCATCTCCAAGGAAGTCATTGACAAAAGAAGTGCTTGTCATACTAGCAAGCTGAAGTTAGACTGCCAGAACTTGAGACATCCAAAATAAACTATGGTTTTAACAATATTTTTTATATGTGTCTTCAAAAGACAAATGACTATATGTGGTATCTTTAATGGGAAGCAAAAGTCATTAGTATTTATAAAGCGTTTATGACTTACCCATTGGAAGTGGCATTAAGGTACAGTTTAGATCTATGCTTTTTACCACTGAGGCAATCAGGTACTGAAAGAGAAAGAATATGTAAATTCTTAATCACATGGACTTTTTAGATCAAGATCAATTGTTTTTCTGATGATCTAGGTCAATGACACTGTGCTAGTTGTAAAATATTCTGAGTAAGACCTGAGATTATGTAGCTGGTCAGACTAGATGGTTCCACAGGCCTCAAAATCTGTGAAACTCCACTAATTCCTATTGCTCAGCTCACTCGCTTGCATTGAATATGCAGACTCCTAGAAGGTCTGCATGAAAACACCTATTAAATACAATGAAACCCATCTAGCACAAGCACTTGTTTGGTGGGAGCTGCACCTTTTAGGCTACATCTGAACTGAGTCACTCAAGAATCGGAGTGGTTTTGGATTTAGGAGGAAAATATGGAAGAATGCCTGAGAGAAGCTTCTAGGGGACTTTTATGACCTGTCTTTTGCTATTCTTGTTTCTTCTTTCCGGTTGAGGACTGTACAGACGATGACAGATACAAAGGCTAGAAGTAGTAAACTCCTCCGTTGAGACGTTTGTGGGGAAGGAGGACAAACAAACAGGCAAAAATTGCACACTGGAAGGCAGTTCTAAATCATCACCCTGGAGAGTCTTAATTCCATTGACGGTACAGGGAACTTTGCTGCTAACTTTGGTCTTCTTACTGCACCTACATTTGTCCCTAAAATAGCTCATCTTTTCCCATGAGTCAGATTTTCCAAAAAGTTCAACATCTGTGTAGACACTAACATTTGGGCCAGTTTTCTAGGATCTCTGCATATTAAGTGCTCATATAGTATAGAAAGCTTTTCTGGAAAAAAAAATCTAGTCCTCCTCTAGGTGACCAAACAAGAAACCAGATTTTCTTATCTTTAAATGCAGTCCCTCACGAGGGGCTGTGTTCAAACACTTATTGTGAGTCTTCGCTACTTTGCTCATTGGGAGAAACGTGTGTGGCTTCACAAACCAGCTGTTGTCATTTTCACTGCAGTTTCTCTAGGATTTCACAGTTACAAAGAGCCCCCCGGGCTTCTCCGCCTTCCAGAATATTATGTTCTTGGCAGTGCGTAGAGCATAGGTAAGTGCATTTCTCCTGGTGCGATAGGCTATGGGGTGATGAGTCAATAGTGAGGAGAGATCCAGACATCCAATCGTTGCTTTCACGAGTGGCTGAGAGTTTGTGCAGTTATTGGAAATGGCCTTCCCTGCTTTTGAGTGTATTTACGGAGCAGACTCTGAACTTGTGAGGTTCGTGGGAAGTTAATAGTAAAAAAGTACTAATAAGCAAGAATCCTCTTCAAAGAGAGAATATACACATTTCTCCAAGCTTCGTGTGGGTTGATGCTAGCCTGACATTAACTTATATCTAATCAATCTTAGCCCATCCTGTCAGTAAGTTTGTACTTTTTCTGCTGTTGCAAAAAAGGTGAGTATCATAGCTCTGGATCCCAATGTCAATTATTTTTGCTTCAAATTATTTAAAATATATAAAAGGGGTATTTATTCTCTGTCCAAAGAAGAAAAAATGTGTATTCAGTATCAGTATTCAGGTGCAGAGATAAACAGTCAAGAGCAGGAGAGAGAAAGGTGAGGCTCCACATTTAATCCTAACTCTGAATAGTCTTTTGTTACATAATTTTGAATACCATTATCTAATATCCATCGTACATTTTTGTTACTCTTATGCAGGCTATGTTTAACACCTTGTAATTTTCCTTCATTCCATTATTCCTCATTATTTTCCATTAGCATGATTATTCACTGTCTTTACTACCTTTATGCAGTTAGTACTTCTCTCTCCTGTGAGTGGGCTAGGTCTGTAAATAGTCATATAAACTACATCAGTGGGGAATCTGGCTCCTAGTATATTAGGCCTGTAAAGGGTAGATGAATTACAATTTTAACTAAGCTCTTCCCAGGCTGTCTTCTGACATACAAAAGCAAGTCTGTACCACTTTGTGGCTCTGACTTATTCGCCAGCCATCCTTCTCATCATATGTAGAATCCTGCCTCAAACACCATGTAAGAGGTCCAAAAAGTTGTCTATGTCTAAGCATAATACCCCTTCTCTCTGCCACTTGCTTTGAAAAGGAAAAAGCCAGTAAGTCATTTCAGTATGCCTACTCAGTGGGATTACTACTCATCCATCCCAGATTATCTGCTTGTGGAACAAGTGTTGGATGTGCGCAATTCTTGTGCTTCCTCACTGTGTCAACAAGTCCTCCCTTCTCCTCCACAGCCAAGCTGGGAACGATAGTTTAGCCCATAAAGAATATCCACATGTGAAAAATTTATACTCGGAGTACAATGTATTATAGCTGCAATTCAGTGCATGAGGTAAATCAGTCTGCTCTTGGAGGAAAACAGATGTTCAGGCTGCCCATGGCTGCACATGCAAGTGCCTGTACTGCAAGTAAGGGGTATGTGGTACTTAACTGGGAGGTAACTTTTCTAGCAGCCAATTCAGACAGGTTACATATATGAGCAGTTTTTCACTGTTGTTTGTGAAAGAAACAGTACCTTTGGCTAATCAGCTCTGACTCCAGCTACATACTAGTATGAAATACTTCAAAGCCTTTTGTGTATGTTTATCTAGCAATAAGAAAGACGTAAAATAGTTTGGAAATGCAATAACTTGAGAAGCAGAATATTATCATGTATTTAAATATAACAGCCTAAATTTTCAGTTAATCCAAAATCAGAGTTATTCCATTCACTGCCAATTTATAATATTGAGGAGCTGGCCCAGTATTATGAGGCATACCTCTGAGGGCTGACAGAATACATAATAGGTTTTAAAACAATTTTTGATAACTTAATTTGATTATTACAGTATTTCCTAAGGCTTTTTGTTAAAAATAAAAAAAAAGATGGCAGGAGAAAAACACGCAAAGTAGTTTGCTGTCGTAAATCTTGAAGTATTGCTGCTCTCTGAAGAGCTTTCATTAGTACCTATTAATGGAATCTGGAATTATTTAGACAGACATACCAGAATTATCTTTCTTGAGCCTTTGATGAAAATCTGTACAAGAACCCTCTCTCCTGGACAATTGGGGTTAGCCGGTATGAAACTTCTAAAGGGCGCACCTGCACACCTTAGAGAGTCTGCATTTTTTCCCACGTTTACCTTATTGGTTACCCAGTTAGTTTCACTGAGGCAGTATCCTAAGAACTCGCAATCTAAACTAGAGATGGGAGGAGGAAAGGATTGCACTGAGTTGTCCCTTATCCCTTCTTTAGTCTGGCATATCGGCCCCTGAAGTCTATAGCATTTTCAAGAGTTCTTACTAGGCATCATCAACAGCTGTACTCAGTGAACACGTAAAATTTATTTTACTGGAAGTTTCTCACAAGTTAGCACAGAAGAGACCTCTTCCAGGGCTCCCTTAAATCTAGAATAGAAATTACTCTTTCTTTGCCATACCTTTGCTTCTGTTACAACTGACTTCTGTTAAAATGGTTCACCACATTATAGGCCCTCAGGAGGTGATAGTCTCAATGGGTGGCAGTATTTCGGTGAGAATTATTCTTTACCCAAAGATATTGCTGACTAAGACAGAATTTGTTCTATTACATTATTTGAATTTTACCTCTCTAGCGTTTCATTAATTAATTTTGAATAATGTGTTATCTATTGAAGAATAGAAAATAAATATATATTTAAAGATTGGATTTAATTTCTCTAATGTCAATGGTATTTCAATAATCATAATGTTATAATAAGCGAAGTTTGCAGAAGACCAAATATAAATTTTGTTTCATTGCTTCTAAATTCTGTGTTGGCTTCCTTCTCTCTTTTGACTGTTGTGAAGCTGATGGCTCTTTCTAGTTCTCCAGAGACCGAAAGAAGACAAAAAATTACCATATCTGGTAATTTGTATCATTACATTTCTGGTCTCCATGGAAACCCCTGTGGTGCTCCACAGTCATGAAACATTTCAATATGTTGCAGGATAAATCAGATGGAAGGAAGATGTATTTGGTTCTGCACCTTGGCTGTTACTCAATTAAAAATTGCTTGCAAATTGTTTTGAGACTGTTTTCACGTTGTGTTGTAATCTTCAATTGCACTAACAATGGAAGAAATCAAAGTAATCAACTTAAGGTATTATGGCCTGAGTCTACATACCTATGCACATAACTCTGCCAGTTAATTTGATTCTGATAAGCACTGGCATTAATTTGGAAGGATTCATTGATTTGAACAGGATTATACAGATTAATACTATGGAAACTGAAAGCATAACAGCAAACTATTTGTCAAATTGACGCTGATACAAGTTTAAAGCTTGACGGAGAGGTAGTAACAATCCCTTCTTTGTAATTTATATAAGCAAAGCATGCTGAACATCAAGAATCTGATAATCTTTATCGTTCTTTGTCATGACTCTTTATCTTTCCACTATTGAAGAAATACATCTCAAAACCGGTTTCCTCTGACAAAATGTGGTGATTTCATCTACCTGCCTGTTCATGATCTCCTTTTTTATTCCAAGCTTTATCAACTTGAAGCAAAGGCACATGATCTAACTGGGACAGCAGAGGTGATACAGAAGAGGAAATACATGTACGGAGGAGACCAGTCTTACTTTGTGACCACAGACAGCCCATGAAGAGTAAGTGCGCTCAGTCATATACAAGTAAGTAAAAATTATGTCATAATGGAAATGATGCAACCTCCTGTAAACCCATAAGTATTCCTACGTAGACAGCCATGATAATAAGAAACAGGAAGAAATGCATAAATTAGAGAGTTATTCAAGCATTTTACATTTGAACAATGAAAACCCAGTTATCAACTGAGAATTGCACTAAAACACAATGGTGAAATATGGTTGTGATTTATATTATTCACTGTAATCAAACTACAAAATCTGATAATTTCGTATGCATTTTGAAGGTATTATTTTTTTTCAGAATACTGTGGAGAAAATGTATACTAGTCGAGAGGATATTGGATATGATTTTGGAGATGACTCAAAAGATGGAAGTAAGACAGTTCAGCCCAATCCAAACATCGATGGAGGATGGGCTTGGATGATTGTACTTTCCTCTTTCCTTGTACACATTCTTATCATGGGGTCCCAAATGGCCCTTGGAATCCTCAACATGGAATGGCTGGAAGAATTTAATCAAAGTCGAGGCTTAACAGCATGGGTTAGCTCCCTTAGCATGGGCATTACACTTATTGTAGGTATGTTCCAGCAGAATTTATTTCAGAACTACATAGATTTTTAGAATGTGTTTGGCACTCAGAGCCCTCAAATATTTTTTTGCAGTTTTCATATTTGTTAGCGAAGCTGAACAAGTTCTCCTGAGTTGCCGTTTTAAAGTCACCAGGACAAATTTTACTTAGAGGGAACAGGAAACAGCAGGGAAGATGGTGGAAGAAACAATTAGACTAGGATTCAGCACAAGCAGGAAAGGATGCCTGTGACTTCAAGACCTCAGTAGACTGAAGAAAAGAGATCATCTCGGGAGCGTGTAGTCCTCTTTGTCTGGGAGGGAGTCGTATATTGAATTTGGACCATGAATTAATTTATATTTAAGTTTTCCAGCTGAACTAAAATTTATTTTTTTAATTGGGATTGGATCAACCCAAAATAAAATCTGTAGGGGTGTGTATATATGTGTGTGTGTTTTTGTGTGTGTGTGTGTTATGCATACACACACATCTGTTTCTCTCTAAATTAATTTTGAATAAGTTAAACTTAGGTCTGCCTAAAATATTCCAGTGAATATGAACTGAAAAGGCTTACTTTCTAGTTATATGTAAAAAAGGACTGCACTAGCACAGTATTAGTATCAGGAACAATGGTTTCAGTTTCTTCCTCTGTTTAAACCTGCTCCTTCATTACAGAGCAATTTTGATTTTAGGCCCTAGGGGGTATTTGCTAAGTATTTGGTTGGTTGGTTGAATTTTTCTTTCCACAATTTTGAACAGTAATAGGGAAAACAAACTGAATTGCATGAGTAGCCTGATGTTTAACATTTTGTTTAAAACATATAATAAGATAAGAATCTTCATGTGAAAAATTATTAAAGAGTGCAAATAGATATTTAAGTAAATAATTTAGCATTTTTTCTGTGTTGTTTAACAGGTCCTTTCATTGGTTTATTCATTAGCATGTGTGGGTGCCGCAAGACAGCAATAATTGGAGGGATATTAAATGCCCTAGGCTGGATACTGAGTGCCTATGCCTCAAATGTGCACTGCCTCTTCATTACATTTGGAGTGACAGCTGGTAAGCTGTATTAACATTTGAAAGTTCTTTTAATTATTTTTAATGCCTTTTCAAAGTTATCTGGCGAGCAAAGAGATAAGTTAAACTGGTTCCTGTATCATTTTTCCCAATTAAAAACAAAAAAAAAAGATTTAATTAGGGAGCGTAACTTAACTTATGGTTTTAGATTATTCAGCTCTGAGATGATCTGGCATTATGTGCTAATGTAGGCATAATAGACACCATTGATTTCAGTGGAGTTACTACCGCTTTCCTTTCACACTTTCTGCAGCCTATTATCTTTGCAGAAACTTCTGTATTTACTCAGTGGATCAGACCCAATGGCTTTTGTTGTCATGAAAAGCTACCATGTGAAGATGATATTTTTATCAGTTTCTCCCAAAGGAATATACTAGACGACAGAAAAATTAATGTAACCAGAACTCTAGAAAGTACAATTTAAAGGCAGTTAAAATACTGTTGAGCTGTATTTATAGCTAACTCCTCTCTTTGTCATTTAAAGAAACAACTAATATTTTCTACAGGAGCTGCTCCACATTAATGGAATCCCAGACTGTGATAACTATGTGCTGTTTCAAAATCCATTTTAAAGAGTGTAACGTCTATGTTTTTAATGAAGAAAGAAACTAAATAGATAAGCATGTCTTTTTTTGCAAAAAGGTTATTGTGTCTGTTTCTTCTTTTGAATCCCTGTTGCTAGATTTGCTCTGCTTGAATCAGGACAATGCATACAGTCTTTTTTCATGTGTAGCTTCTAATAAAGGTTATTCCGATTAGATCAATAACCGCTAATGAATAGCAACTAGTTTTGCTGCAGACTTGTGGGAGAGAGGTGGGAGAAATGGGTAACATCATTTCCTATTGAAGGTTTGTTGGAGGACTTGATTATTTGGTTAGGGCACAGTGCTGCTTAATAACAATCACTAGGTAACTGTTTTACTAAATTTTGCAGTCTGCTGTAGCCTCTATTACTCACGGCTTCTTTCTGGAAAAAGAAGCTTGAGATAGATATGAACCTTAAATGTTTAAATGTTGCAAATAAGAAAAATAAAATTTGGCCTTTAATTGTTGCTTGAGAAACATTGAGCTCAAGGGCCTTTAAAATATTATCCACTCCGTAGACAGTATGGCCAGCTGTGGTTGCAAACGAAGCGTGGTATCCATGTTATATGTGACAGAACCACTATGAAAAAAAACTTGTAGCTTTGGTAATAGCTTCAAGACCCTCCAATCCCCTCAAAAAAACCTTGAGCAGAATTTCACCGAATTCTGCAGGTTTTCTGTATGTAATTTTTTTATCTCGCTCTCTGTATAGAAGAGAATTGAATCTAACAAGGATCACAGTTATGACCGTCGTTTAGTTTTTAAACCAGCATACTGTAAATTCCAGAGCAAAGAACAACACTTACAGGCAAGGTTCTGCCCTTTTGGCAGGGTTTGCCTACCTGCACGTGGACTGTATTCAGCGCACTCTCTTCCTCTCAACCCTTTCTGCTTTTCAGAAAGAGCATCCCCCCCCCCCCAAAAAAAAAAAATCAGATAAAAAGACGGCAGATATACAGAGAATTTAAAAAATAAGGTAAAAAACTATGTTTTCAGAAAAATCTGAGGCAAATTTCCACATGAGATGGAAAAGTGAGATACTGGCGCCAGAGTAATTCTGGGCAGCAAACCAGTGCAGAGGTGCCTGAGGTGCTGCCTCCATCTCTGTGAGGCTGCCAGGTACCGTCCCCTCCCTCACCGTCAAATCCCCTCACTGTCCCCTCACCGTACCCTCCCTCACCGTCCCTTCACTCAGTGTCACGTCCCCTCACTGTCCCCTCACACATGACCCCTCCCTCCCCGTCCCCTCACCGTCCCCTCACTCAGTGTCACGTCCCCTCACTGTCCCTTCACGCATGATCACTTCACCGTCCCCTCCCTCACCGTCCCCTCACTGTCCCCTCACTCAGTGTCACGTCCCCTCACTGTCCCTTCACGCATGACCCTTCCCTCACGGTCCCCTCACCGTCCCCTCACTCCTGTCCCCTCACTCACCGTCCCCTCGCTCCCCCTCCGCTCAGTCACGGCCCCTCACGCCCCGTCCTCTCCTCTCCTCTCGTCTCCCGGCTGGCGCCCCGAGCTCCTGTGCCGCGGCGCCCC